GATGGTATAAAGTGCCATCTTAGTGCAGCCTAAATCTCTTGGTTGTATAATAAATGTTGCTTTGTAATTCCTCTATTTTTTGTTGATTGGCTGAGAGTAGGGATGGAAGGCTCTGTCAGTTTTGGTTTGTTCCACTTTCTCAGTTTTCCAGTGTTAAATTTAGTTCACATTTCTGCAGGAAGTTACAAGTTATTATTATTTTTCTTAAAAAATCCCCATGAAAATTCTTCAGAATTTCTGTGCAGATTTCTCCTAATAAACACCGTTTTGACAAATAGACACATTTTTGAAACAATTTCTCTTAATATAATGCATTTTTGTATTCATTGTGCATGCATTCCTCTAACACGTGCCTTTTTGTAAACTTTATTTGGTTGCAGAACTGCATCACAAAGTTCAGATAAGTGCATTTCTTTTAATGCACTTAACTGTTTTTTTCAATTCACATAATTGCTTCGTAAAGAGCAAATTTGATAAATTTGGTTTTAAAGGTGAACTGAATTAAATTGCTCCCCCATCCCTAGAAGGGAGGACCATCTTGCCTTTCTTATCATGCAGCGAAACACCCTGGGGAGGCTGCATCTGTTGAGACATTATTTAATCAGCAGCCCCTTTGGGACAATCATGGAATTGCAGAATTTGAAGGGACCCCGAGGATCATCCAGTCCAACCCCCTGCAATACAGGAATCCTGCCCACAGTTGTCCCTGGGTGGGCTCGAACCACCAACCTTCTGGTTAACAGCCAGCTGAGAAAACAGCTGAACACTACCAGTGTCTTCTCCGCCACCCCCATGACCAAAATTTGGTGTAGAATCATCACCCTTATGGAAACCCCATATGGACATTGACTCAATGCCTTTTGGAGAGATGGGTGTCTACTGGTTTTCCAGAACCTTTGCAGTATATTAATTTTGCAGTATATAATTAATAGTAAAGTTAATTGATGAATTATTCATTTTTTCATGTAAAAATAGGAGCAATAAATATTAATAACTTTTTTTTTATTAAGGGACTTTCCATTTCCTGTGTCATTAAAGAGAGATTAACCAAAAGTTGGTTTTAAATGAAGATTGAAAACAAATGTGCTGTTGAATTAATTTACAGTGTTAAGGCCGTTATGCCGTGATCATAACTCCTTGCGTTGGAGAGATTCCCCTCCCCCTGACTGGATTAGTAATATTGAAGGCGGGGAAAGAGAGCACTGTGAGGATCTACGGAGCATTCTGCTAAACTACAGAGCATTCTTTGGGTGTTTCCAGATGCAGTTCTGCCTTAAATCAGTAGACGAGGCAAATGCGGCCATTTGAACAGGCCAGAAACTGCGAAAGGGGGAGAGAACCACTGAGATTGTTTGCTAAAGTGAAGCACACATATCCTGGCATTGCAGGGGGATGGACAAGACAACCCTTTAGGTCCCTTTCAAACCTACGATTCTGTGATTCGAAATCCCTTTCAAAACAGAGGGCCACTTGTGCTAACAATCTTGGGTGAGCTGTAGGGTGCTGCTGCAAATCCAACTTCTTGGACTGTCTAAGACAGATGTTGGATCTCCACTCTGTATTAGACTGGTTAAAATCTATTTCTCTTCCATGTTCACTCCTATACTAACAAGTTTTTGTGTGTGTGAGTGTAGAGAAGTGGATCATAGCTGGTAACTAGTGGCAGCTAGACTAGTGACTAGGAGTGGCCGCCGGGACCATATAACACTGGTCCTAAAGGATCTTCATTGCTTCCCAGAGCACAATTCAAAGTGTTGGTGCTGAGATTTGAAGCCCTAAATGGCCTCAGCCCAGTATACCTGAAGGAGCGTTTCTACCCCCATTGTTCAGCCTGGGCTCTGAAGTCCTCCTTGGAGGGTCTTCTGCAGGTTCCTTCACTGCGAGAAGCGAGGTTACGTACCGGGAACCAGGCAGAGGGCCTTCTCGATAGTGGCGCCCTCCCTGTGGAACACCCCTCCTTCAGATGTCAAGGAAATAAACAACTCTCTGTCTTTTCGAAGACACCTGAAAGCAGCCCTGTATCGGGAAGTTTTTAATGCTTGATGTTTTAGTATGTTCTGATATATGCTGTTAGCTGCCCAGAGTGGCTGGGGAAACCCAGCTAGATGGGCAGGGTATAAATAATAAAATTATTATTATCATTATAACCATACTTTACTAATAATAGCCAGAAAAATCCTCATGTTGATGGGCTTCTGGGCTAAGTAGCAAATGGCTCATTGAAGGCTGCCTGGAGAGAGCCTGATTCCTGTTGGTCTGTCGGTCCAATCCCCCTTATAGCTTTGATTCCAGAAGAGGATGAACTGGACGGAAGTAGTATAATGGCCTTGGACTGAAAAGATTCCTATCGCATGGAAGTCCAGAAGATTTGGAAAGCCAACAATGAATCCTTTCAGCAGCTCAACCCTCTTCCCACTTTGTTTTAAAAATGGCCTTAGAGCAGGCGCTCCCGAGCAGCCGAGATCCGTTCATTGTCTTAGACGATTTCATTTTGACTGTGTTTCCGATGAATTATTCAGCCAGGCGGCAGGTGAGAACGGGCTCCCCCGGACGGCTTGTTTTATTTAATATCTGGCTGGTAACCGAGGAGGAGAACAGCGTCGCGGTGATAGACAAGAGATCTGCTAACTTCGGCGTGGAAGGAGATATCCGTGTATCCTCATATGGGGATTTAATTGGTACAGATGTTGATATTTCGGTTCTGCTGTGTAAGACAGTTTGTTGAACTTAGGAGGCGGGCAAAGGGGGGGGGATTTCTGAATTGCTGTGGTTTTTGTTTTTTGAAGAGGTATATGCCTAGGCTGTCTTGGTTTGTGCATGAGAGAGAAAGAGTTATTTAGGAAGCAGGAAGTTACTACATATTTCTGGAGCAGCTGCTGGTTCCCTCTTCCCATTTCCAGTCATTTAACTTTTGAGTTGGCTCTGCCTTCTGCTCAGGTGGGTAATTTGATACTCCATACCCTCCAACATTTCTCTGATGAAAACATTTCTTCTGTTCCTCCATCATCATCACCATCATCCTATTTATACCCCACACATCTGACTGGGTTGCCCCAGCCGCTCTGGGTGGCTTCCAACATATATAAAAACACAATGAAACATTAAAAAACTATTCCCCAAACACGGGTTTCTTGAGATGGTTTGAGGGTTGGATAACTCCAACATTTCTCTGATGAAAATAGGGACGTCCTAAGGAAAAGAGGATCAAATCAGAAACAAGGGCAGTTTCTGTAAATCCAGGAATGTTCCTGGAAAATAGGGACACTTGGAGGGTTTGGAGTCCTGTGTAAGATATTTGTTGTTGTTTTTTAAAATATATATGTCCATCTGGGTTTTTTTTTTTTTTTACATTTTAAAGAAAAGGTCTGGGGTTTTTTGTTTGTTTGTTGTTTGATTGATTGTTTTTTGGCTCGGGCACATGCAGCTCAGGCTTAGACTGCTCAGCATGCAGTGGCCGCTGCCAGCCCAAGTTGGGGAAAGAGGGACACATGCATGGCAGTCCTGTGTGCCTTTTTCCCCACCTCAGGTTGGCAGTGGCTCAGGCTGTCTTGTTTTATTGCTCTTCAAGATATGGCAACCCTATTTTATTGGGAAAGTCTAGTTGAATGGCTGGTGACACTACTGTACCTAATGCTCTTTTATCAATGTATTATGAAGGACAGGAGAATTGTCCACAACCCTATTATTATTATTATTATTATTATTATTATTATTATTTTGTACGCTGCCCTTCTGACTGGCTTGCCCCAGCCACTCTGGGTGGCTTCCTACATATATTAAAACATTATAAAACATAAAACATCAATCGTTGAATAAAATAATAATTCAGCTTTGTTTTTATTTTGGTATTTTTTTGTGGTGGTGGTCTGTGTTTGGAATTGATGGGAGCACCTCTTCTTCCTGGTGAAAAGTTGGAGCATTTCAGGGGGACCCAGCAAACTCATATTTATTCATGATATTTAACGGGGGTAATAAAATTAAAGACTTTGTGGCATTTTAAATGCCTTACAGCTTAATTTATATTCTGGCATGCTAATGAAGAGCCAGCTTTTGTCCAGGAGGTGAGATATGCAAAAATAACCTTTAAGTTGCTCATAATTAACCTTTAATGATATTCCCTCCACTTTACCAGTTTTGTTTTTTTGCACATCAGGAAGTGAAATGTAAGAAGCTGGCCACCCCTCTCTGCAGCCAGCAGAGCATGGCATTTACTTTTTCTATTTTTTAAAAATCTTTTGTTTGGGGGTTTATTTATTTGCACAGTTTCTTCCCACGTGAAACCTGGCACCAGAAGAGGGAATGTTGAATAACAGGGGCAGCTTTCTCAGTTTCCTTCCAATCTCTCTCTTCTGAGGATGATAATTATTGACAGAGTTAGTAGGCATGAAATAGTGACTAAATGAACTTTCTCTCCCCCTGCCTCTCTTTCTCTGCAGGTTTTTATTTTGGGGGGACGGGGGGGGGGAGGAGAAGATGGACTGTAAACAGATAGGTTTAGTGGCATCCCTGAGACCATTGAACAACAGCAACTGAGCAGTAGGTGCCACTGTCACCAGAGACTCCCTGTGTGCTGCTGCCCTGCGACAGGGCCTTTTCGGTGGTGGCTCCCTGTTTGTGGAATGCCCTCCCTAGTGAGGTGTGCCTGTTCCCATCATTGTCAACTCTCAGGAGGAATCTGGAAACATTTCTCTTTAACCAGGCATTTGGTGGCTGGAGGGAGACTCTTCCCAGCAATCGTAAGATCCTTGCATAGAAGGATGCTTTGAATTGCTGTAAGGATGTTTTTCACTGTAGCCGACTTTAGATGTTACAAATTGTAATTGTTTTTAGAATGTCTTAAATGGTTTTAGAATAGGTTCTTTTTTTAATGTACTCCAGGAGCAGGGCTGGGGGGAAAACCCCCACCTGGGCCTCTGGTGAGCTGGTGTCCGTCACAATAGACCATGCTCAGTTACATGGACCAGAGGCCTGCCTCAAAAGCCAGCTTCATATGCACAGGAACCTGGGATAGCTCAGTTGGTGGAGCATGAGACTCTTAATCTCATGGTTGTAGGTTCGAGCCCTATCTTGGACAGAAGATTCCTGCAATGCAAGGGGGTTGGACTAGATGACCCTCGTGGTCCCTTCCAACTCTACATTTCTGTGATAACACAGTGGATCAGGCCAGTGGCCCATCTAGCCCAGCATCCTTTCTTACAGTGGCCACCCCAAAGCCCCAATGAGAAACTTGCAAGCAGGATCCGTGCACAACAGCACTACCCCCCCTCCTGCTGTTTCCAGCAACTGGTATTCAGAAGCACAACTGAGTGTGAGAGCTAGTAGCCATCATTGGCCTTATCCTGCCTGAATTTGTACAATCCTCTTTTAAAGCCCTCTAAAGGACTCCTGGATGTTTAAGTCCAGCTAAAGGCGACTTTGGGGTTGTGGCGCTCATCTCGCTTTCAGGCCAAGGGAGCTGGTGTTTGTCCACAGACAGCTTTCCGGGTCTTGTGGTCAGCATGACTAAACTGCTTCTGATGCAACGGAACACCATGACGGAAACCAGAGCACACGGAAATGCCGTTTACCTTCCCGCCACAGCGGTACCTATTTATCTACTTGCACTGGTGTGCTTTCGAACTGCTAGGTTGGCAGGAGCTGGGACAGGGCAACGGGAGCTCAGTCCATCGCAGGGATTCGAACTGCTGACCTTCTGATCGGCAAGCCCAAGAGGCTCAGTGGCTTAGACCACAGCGCCACCTTTTAAAGCCCTCTCTGTTGGTTACAATCACTACCTCTCGTGGGAGCGAGCTCAATAGTTTAACTAAGCTCTGCATGGAAAAAGAACTATATTTATCAGTCCTGAATCTTCTGACATTCAGCTTTATGAGATGCCCATGAGCTCCAGTGTTATGAGAGAGGAAGGCCCAGTGTCACCAGGACTCAGAGTAGTTGCGGTTGGAATCATTGGAAGCATAGAGCTACAGGAAATCTGGTGAATTGAGGGAATGACAGGGCAGGATAGAATGGGGTTTTTTATTAAAAAAAATAAAAAGGAGTAATTTTGAATCCTCGCCCTGTAACCTTCTGCAATGCTGTCACGCCATTTCCTCTGCTGCCTTCCTGCTGTGCCCCCCCTTGCGCCCCCCCAACCCCATCATGCATTCTTTAAACTACCAGGGAGGGTTGGGATGCTGAACGCCTCTGCCGGAGATGGATGTAACATTTGATCCGCTACCAGTTGTGACACTTGTAAGTCAGGCAAAACAGGGCGTTTTTAATTGGATTGAATATATTTCATGACCAAGAAAAGGCTTCATTGATTCTGGAGTCTTTTTGATGTTATCTGTAGGCACATTAACATCCCTGAAAGAGACTCGCCCCCAGCAGCAGCAGCAGCAGCGGCAGCAGCAACAACATCCGCCTCTCCCTGCCCCATTAAGGTGCCTGATAAACTCTACTATGAGCTGCGCCTGGTGTTATTTACAAACACAAGGTGACCGGCTGGCTTCGGGAGAGGTGTCAGCCAGAGCCAAGGCCAGCTACTTCTGCTGGGAGGAGGCTCTTGCACTCCCCAAAGGGGCTTTCACGTCCCTCCATGCCAGTCTGAGCCTTCTCTGCAATTGCAAAGACCTTCATTAAGTTCAAAGGCTTCCTGATGGAGGTTGGGATTTCAGAGCAGCCAGGCCGGCTTGCCAAGGGACAGAGTGGGGTGTCCTTGCCCTCGAAATGATTGAAGCCGAATTGCAACAGGTGGAGGTAAGGCCGGGCCCAGGTGCTTCAAGACGACAGTGGGCAGGAAAGGACTCAGGCTAAAAGAGACAACTGGCACCCCTAATTTCACTGCACCTTTTAAAACTGTCATTGGGGTGGCAGTTTCCTCCTTCTTTCCTCCCTCGCTCCCTTGTAACCCATCCACCCCCCCATCCAAATAATAACATCCAGTGTCTTTTCATAAACCCATTATTCAAGCCCTATTTCAGAATGCGTTATGCCTTAGAGCTACAACATTTAAATATATTTAAATTGGTTGGGACATTTACAAAAAACAAAAACCTTTTAATTGACTTAAATAAACAAAAAACCTGATTAGTTTGAAAGCACTTTTGTGCGTGCATTTAATGTTTGTTTATTTTTTGACTTGTATCCAAAGTTAGCCCTGCTCAGAGCAGACCCAACTGAAGTTAATGGGCATGACTAACTCAGGGCCATTTATTTTAGTGGGTCTACTCTCAGCAGGATGGATGAGACCCGACGTTTGCAGTGAAAGCCCTCACACAAACTGCGGGTGTCGAGTGCAGTCGGAAGAGGCATTTCCCCTTCTCACCTACATAATGTTACTTTTTTTACTTTTTAATTAATTCCCACTCAGCCCTATCATCCAAGGAGGTCAAGGTAACATATGCGATTCCCTGCACCCCATTCTATCCTCACAACAACCCTGTGAGGTCAGTCTGGCTGTGAGAGAGTGACTGGCAGAAGGTCAACCAGTGAGCTTCATGGCCGAATGGAGATTTGACCCTTGGCCTCCCTAGTCTCAGTTCAACACTCTAACCCAGAACCTACCAAACTGTGTGTCACAATATGTTAGTGTGTTGGCTGCATTGCGTAGGTGTGTCACACAAACACTCCCAGCGCTCTTCCCGGGGCTGATAAGGAGTTAGTTTAACCTCCAGTTTGCTAGCAAAACTGAATTATTGTGTCATGAAAAAGACGCATTTCTAAGAAGTGCGTCACCAATGTGAAAAGTTTGGAAAGTTCTGCTCTAGCCATTATGACACTATGGTGTCTCACAAGAGGAAATGGTGTTTCTAAAATGCCTCCTCTGATGATGCATGCCTTGTTGGCAGCCATCAGTGGAATCCTGTGTTTCTCAAAGTAGCATAGGAGCATGGTCAGCAGAGAATAGGCTTGGCTCAACTCCCAGGAAGGCTCCTCTGGGATAGTTCAAACACTTCATAAGGCAATACAGTGCCAGGACCACTCCCCACCTGGAATTGGAGCTAAAAGACCAAGGAAAAGTATTGGTGCATGGAGAGTAAGTTGTAAGCAAGCACAACTGACGACGTTAAACATCACTTCTGATCATGGGGATGTCTGTTGAGGCATCAGCCTTACTTTCCAGTTCCCTGGTTTTGTGGAGCAACATGGGGCAGCCTTAAAACTGATCTTAAACCACCAAGTCTCTTAAGCCCTCTCACCGGACTGTTTTTACGCACGTGCAATTTATCTGTACAAACTTAACCAATCCATTGATTAATTGCCTAAAGCTCATGTGATCCATTAAGGAATGTTTAATTGGGTGTCAGTCCTGATTATTCGTGAGTTGGGCCCAAAGGTCCTGTTCCAGAATGTGGAAATCACTTCCCCTTCTTTTGAGCAAAAATCGTAAAAAGAACATCCCCTTGATGTTCTCCTTCTGCTCAGTTGCAAGAACATGTCCTACGTAGTCTCTTTGGGACCCCATTTTCCTGCTGGTCAAGCTTCTTTGCATCCAAACCATTTTTTATTATTTATGCACCACCTTCAGCGGGCCTCTGCATTGTACAGAGTCCTATCAGAAGAAGGCAGCTCCCTGTCTCAAGGAGTTTACAGTCCTTTCTGTTTTGGTTTCACAGTGGATGGAAAATGGAGAGGGGGAAATGAGAGCTGCGAGTGACGGGTGGAATTTGAACAAGTGTCATTACATAGTCTGTCAGTTGCATGGGCTTAGGTCTCTACCTAGAAAGCCAGCAGGGCCCAATCTGGCACCTTGCAGATTGATGTTTTGGATCTCCCAAAAGGCTGGAGGACACCAGGTTGGGGAAAGCTGGGCTAAGCTAAGATCTGTATGGAAGGATGTCTGAAGGAGTTGGCACAGTCCAGGTGTCCTGGCATGGAGATCCAAGCACGAGGGGCAGGAGAGAGAGAGAGTGTGTGTCAGAGACATCACTGAAGGAAGCAGGAGACCTTTTGGCAGATCATTTTCAGGTAGCTGGAGGAACAAGGGACAAGCTGGAGGGAGAAATTAGAAGAGAATGGGATGCTGTTGCTGGTCCCTCAGGAGCCACCACCATCCCTGGTCAACCTGTAGGCCTAGCAGCAAATGACCACCATGCTTGTATTGAATTCAGTGCGCCCCTGTGGTTGGTTGGTGCACATGGTCCTGTACCCCATGCTTGGGGGTCTCACTCTTGGGACATCGCTGAGCTTTGAATTCACAGCAAAGCATTGACGGCATTGTCCTGTGAGGCTGCCGGCCTCTCTGATCCCCCACTTGGAGCAGCTTGTTCCACCGTTGAGGTGTGTCCTCTTGTTGTTCCTCCTTGCTGTGAGTTTTTTAGCTGCTGCGCTGGGGATCTCGGCGGGGCATTTGATGCTCCGAGTTCTAATGGCATGTGCTCTTTGGCTCCTGCTGGGGAGATGAATGTTTAATAAAGGCCTTCCACGGTGGTTTCCACCAGCCGCCTTTGCTGCCGCAGGATCACCTGTGCACATAAAAGTCTTCCTGTTCCTTGTTGGGAGTTCTGCCTCCCCTCTCTCCCTCCCCTCTTTATTTTAAGCATCTGATACTTGGGAACTTGTTAACGGAATGCTCCCGGCTGGAGATCCAAAGCCAATTTAAGCGGTGAGGGGGAAAAGCCGGCAAGGTAATTTTCGAGACCCATAAGCAAACAACTTGCGAGAGCAGCTGATGGGAAAGTGGGGAGCGAGATGTCGCCTACTGAGTTTACCTGGAGAGAAATCGTTCGTGCATCCCTTTATCTCGGCCTCTTAACTTATCGCATCCACTTTGCATTTAAATGGAAATATTCTCTCCACCCCCCCAATGTTTTTAATACTCCACCTTGGACTTAAGCATTTCTTAAAGTGCAGTGAGTAAACAGACAGGGAAGCGCAGTGGGGTGGTTGCTGCTCGGAGGTCACGGGGAGGGGCAGGCTGCTCAATCTTTTTTGGAAGTCTATATATATCTGAGACCTCTGACTGTGTGCTGCCTTGGGTTGCCGGAAGGCCAGATGAAGCATTAGGCTCAGTATGTGGGCATCTTGATGGTGTCATCCACCGTATTCCACATCCGTTTCCAAGCTCTACTTTGAAGGCCTCTTTTCTTCATC